CTTCCAAAGTTTGGCTAAATTGTATATCCAATCTTCTATATTTAAATATTAATATTGTAATACAAGTATAAGATGACAACAAAGGAGAAGAAGTACTTTCCAACAAATAGCAAGAAAAATAGAAGTACTTATAGTGGGAGATTCTTTAAACAAAATTATATCCAAGAATCATTCTACAAATAAATTTGCTTTTGCTATTTTTGTCCATAATAATTAATTATTTCTATTAGTAGTCAATGGTAGAAATAGAAGATCTTAAAAATGTTAGAATGTAGTCGTGATAGTTGAAAACATAGTAGAGGTAGTTCAAGATATTGAAGCATTCATTATATATAAATCTATAAAAAAAATATATAAAATCAAATTAAAAAGAATGAATAAAATGCACCATGAAATATAAAGCCATAAAATGATAAATTTGAACTTGAAATCAAAAATATTCAAAATTTGGAGAGTTTTTTTTTTTTTTTTTTTTTATCACAAAAAATAAGGGTCTGCAATGGACTATGGCAGGAGTGGTAGATGGCAACCAGGCGTGACAATTTGGCAGCAAGCAAGGTATAGCAAAAGTAAGACACAACAATAGAGTTTAGCAATAGTAGGGTACAATAATAATAGTGCACAATAATAGCAGGGTGCAGCAATAGCAAGGTTCAACACCAATTGGGTAGGAAAAAAAATGAAGAGAAGTGGAAGGACAAGGTGTACATAAGTTTTTAAGAACCAAGACTAATGCATAAGAGCAATTGTGCTGATAATGTATTAAAAATGTTTGAAGAGACATAAGAATAGTTGGAAGCAATATTTATACACATACAAAAATATATACAAAACAAGAGTATATTAATGTGGTTGTTTCTTGTATACAATGAAAAAGAGAGAAATTAAATAGTTTCTTCCTACTACATTCCAAATATTGTGGCTGCAATATTTATTGTAAACTACAATAAATATTATGGAGAGTGCCGGCTATATTTAAGGCTCTCAATAGAATGCTATCTGATCTCCTAATCAAATTGCTTTATTACTTGATAACTCAAGCAACCAATTGTATTTGTTATACATGGATAAACTTTTCAGTTATTAGGTTGAGGCTGGGCAAGAGCATCTTCTAATGCAACATGTTAACCTAAAACCCCAGATCCACGAACCACAGCAACAGCAGCCACAGTGCTGCTGTAGAGTCTGATTTTGATGAGGCGCCTTCTTTGGATGATTAATAAGATGAATTTGCAAATACAAATATGGCAATCTAGACGTGGCTCCAAGTACCCACCCTATTTGGGCACCAGCAGATCATACAACACAGCGCGAGGCCTCCCCTTGAGCTCAAGCCCCTCCAAGCGCTTGAAGCGTCAGGTGAGCCTCTCAGGACTGGTAAAGTATAAGTACGCCATTGTTACAAATTTCCTCCACAACGCGCCTCCATTGCTGGCACACTAGAGAGACTGCCGTCCTGTCAAACTTCAGCACGCACGCAAGCGTTTCGTACGAGAGCCCCGTTCCAGATCCTGGTCGTCCCAGCTCCCGTTTCGTCTCCATCTCTCCGCACGGACCCGATGGCTGCTCTGGATTTTAACTTAATTCCCTGTCTCGGGTGAAGGACCATTCAGGGAGCGAAGCATTCGAAGCTTCTCAGAATTCTGAGGAGCTGAAGCTGAACACTACAAGATTCTCGAAATCAGACGACTAAATGCGCAGGATTGGAATATACGTTTGCAAACCTCAAGGATACGTGTTACAGGTGTATTAGCAGATGCAACCAAAACAATTCGCAAAATCTCAACAAAACCTTGCGCGAGCTGCACACAGCTTGGTCAAGGTCAATGAAGCGATGATTCTCACACATGAGCAGTGGAAAAAAAAAAAAAAAAAAAAAAAAAAAAGGTTAAAAAAGAGAAGAAAAAGAAAAGAAAAGAAACTGAGCCTACGTCGCATCTGCAGAAATGCGCAGGATTTTCTACTTCTGGTCTCCTCTCTATTTCCAAATCCTGCCGGTTAGCCTCATGCCCCTACCTATCATATTCCCCAAGCCTCTCCGTTGGATGGGTGATTTGATTATCTTGTGTAATTTACTTCGTCGGCGCTGCAATTCTGCCATTCTAGCTGCAATTATTTTGGAATTTTTAATGTTGGAAACAGTAACGGTCTCAAATTGATTGAAAATTGCAGTTTCCAGAGCAGTTTATTGATATTATGTCGGCTAATTGGACAAGACGGGTTATTTTTATTAAAAGCTTTCGTCCTTATCTTCTTTCAACCACGAATGCATTCAGGTCTCTGAAGACCTTTAGCATTGAGGACAGCGATGTAACTGACGAAGTCGGAGAGTGGCTACACGAGCTGGCTCGCAACAACTCAGTTTTGGAAGTAATAAATTTCGCCGTACTTGGGCTTGAAGATGTCGACGTAGCTGATCTGGCATCACTGGTGAAGAGGTGCAAGGCGCTTGTTTCTCTGAAAATCCGCGAAGTTGAAATAGTGGATATGATCGATGCCCTTACTAGAGCATCTTCTCTCATTGCACTCGGTACGGGCACTTGCGATGTCCTCTGGGATGAGGACAGTACGACAGATCGATATTTATCTTTGCCTTCACACTTGACGAGTCTGTCAGGATTGTGGGCTGTGGGTGATCCTAGACAAGCTTTGATTATTCCTACAGCACCAAACTTGAAAAAGCTGGATTTGAAGTTTACTCTACTGAGCACGAAAGCTTACTGCCAAGTTTTCAGTTAATGCCACGCACTGGAAGAGCTTCAGGTACATCGATTAAAATCTGTTCCAACTTTCCAGCTCTGTTAAAGAATGAACTGAAGACACCAGGTACTATGCAGACTGCAAGTAAGAAGATGCGAGAGTTTGAGGCGACTACAAGTGGAGCACGACGATGCAGGAGCCATCACTCACAGAGGTATGGTTGCTGTTGGGCAAGGGTGTGCACATATGCAGCAGTTGATCGTATATGTGTTATGGAGTCTGCTGCGCGGCACTTGATGGACCTGCCGTTAGATGATGGAATCAAGCTCCTGCTCAAAGGCTGTCCCAAATTGTCCAAGCTTGCAGTGTACCTCCGACACGGGAGCTTGACGGACAGAGGAATGGACCACATTGGGGAATTCGGAACGAATCTGAAGTGGCTATTGTTGGGCTGTGCAGGGGAATCGGACATTGGATTGGCCCATTTGGCACACGAAGCGCAGCTCATCGAAAGGATAGAGTACAGGGCATGTCTGTTCGGGGAGGCAGGTCTTGCTGCTGCAGTAATGGCAATGAGCTCTCTCAAGTTCCTGTGGGTTCAAGGCTACAGGAGAGCACTTACTAGCCTTACCGCGACCGTATTTGAACATAGAAACCATTCTTCCTGTTGGCGATCAACCGGGCAAACTCATAGCTCACTATTCCACAGTTGGGCCTCGCACTGATACTCCTCCGGAGGTGAAGCGCCAGCTGTTGAACCTGGACGGTCCAAGCTTACACTCAACTGGACCTTCGAGGCAATAAGACGAGATCAGGGTGTGCATCATTCCCCCTTCAGCCTGTTTCTTGATCTCTGTCTTCCAACTGAGGCTACTCCCACTGCGACGTCAAACATCCTTCTCTAGGCCATTGCTTCTCACTTCCATGTACATCAGAACGGTCACTTATTACGCACATTCTTTGACGGCAGGAGTGGATCTCAAAACGGGAGCACGCCGTTTCAATGCCCCATTTCGCCAAATTTGGACTGAGATTTCACCGCGTACACTAATCCGGACCAATGACATTTAGTTTTCGCCTTTCTTCATCAAAAAGCCACCAGTTTTGTACACAAGAAGATGGGCTTGGCTTGAACTTTCATGCAGGATGTGAAGACGATGATGGCCGCAACTGTGAGTATCTGTCGTTGGGCGAAGTTTGTTTCTCACTAAAGAAACATTTGTTTCAAAAAATATATTCTCCTTCATCAACTCAATAAATGAAATTATTTATAGTAATAGATTTTACTTATTTATGGCTTCTTTGTGCTCTCCATAAACAAAAATTGTTTATGTATTCTTGCTTACATTATAAATAAAATGGTTGTAATAATATTGTTTATTTATCATTTTCATTTGCAGTAATAAATAAGATTATGACATATTGTGTTTTATTATTTTTTAGAGTTTTTTTTTTTTTTTTTTTTTTTTTTAAATTCATAATGACTATATCAATGATATGTAATAAAATTTTATTCAAATGATTATATTGCAACATAAATAAATACAATAAATTAGATTAAATTTTTTTCCTATAGTATATGTTTTATTTGCATTATGTTTATTTATGTAGATAGTTTATTGTAAGTATTTATAAGATTTAATATAGTATATATATTTTAATAGAATAAATTTGTAGCATCTTTGGATTACAAAGACATGAGAAAAGAAAAAGAAAAAGAAAAAATGACCATTAACACATAACATATATTTATAATTTTTACATTAAAAAATTGGGCATTGTTTCCTGACACTTATTACACAAGCATGCATGGATTTGTAACTTATTAAAGTAAAAAACGAATAGAGATTATATATATATATATATATATATACAATAATGATATGAAATTTGAACCTATGAATATTCACCTAAGTTTTGTGAAAATGTTCAAATGTAAAAAATGCACATTTTACCAATAGATTCACTTGAATATTTGAATAAAACCCTATTCTTTAAGTTTGATATCACACTTATTAAATGTCATAGATAAATCACTTGAATTTATTTTCCTTTTTTTTTATAATAAAGTATTGAAATTTATATTACATTAGTCTCTTCTTTTCACACCAAGTTGATTCAAACCCCATTAAGGTTATTTTCGTCGATCACCGGCATACGTCTCTCTTCTGGTAATAAATAAGTGAGCGGTCCGGAAATATCAGGGACCGCCATTACACCATGTACCGAATAGTTGGACCAGTTCGATATCGACAAAGACTGGACTTCACATGAATTGATATCCGCCACATCGAAGGTTTTCTTGCCGCGGCAGAGAGACGAGAAAGAGCGGCGCCACTAACGCTGCAATTGCGAAGTGCCGCCCATCCTCAAGGATTTACAGGTTGCTGCATTGTTTGAGAGGGTGGGTAGCCATGTCGTTGGCGAAGATGGGCAGCCTTCGAGGGGCTCTCCTCGGACGCATCGCCGCAGCGCGAATCTCCCAAGCTCTGTCTCACGGAAGCGATCTCTCGGCCACGTCCGGCCAATATGCCGTTCTCTGGAGATTTCGTAACTTTGCCTCCAGTGCGCAAGGTGGGTTTGGCGTCGGATTGTTGATTTCGTGATTGATTAGCTGTTAGGTTCTATTCTTTTCTGAAATGCGCTTTCGCCGAATTAATTTCGTAGGCTGATGTGATTTTGGTTCACGTTGGAACGCGACTTATGGATCTAGGGTTTAACAGCAATGATCGGGTGCACGTTATTACTTATGAATTGTGAGTTGCTTATTAATTTATCTAGTCTAATGCGACAATGAAGAAGACGAGGATTGTGAGTGAAGAAATCGTGTTGGTGTTGATAAATTGTGATTGTAGTTGGGGTGGAAACCAAATGCAAACCCCTGGTCTATGAGGGCGTATTTAAAGCATTGTTGGATTTTGTTCCAAGTCAGTGAGCAATCAGGGATCAGCATTGCCTTGTGTTTGAGTAGCTTATTCTCTAGCTGGTTAGCGTCAGGCTCGATTCGTACACACGTTTATTATAAACTTAGCCAGGGTTTATGTGACATTGCAATTTTGGGAAAACTATCCATTGCACGAGGTTAGTCCTCATGTGGCCTCATGTTCAACAGTGTCAACTGGATATTGACGCGACGTATGTTGATGCAATCCGGGTATCGCTGTGTACAGATGGTGATGGTGGAAGCAACGGTGGGGGTAACCCTGAAGATAAAGGACAGTGGCGTAATTGGGTGGAGCAAAGACTGAAGGGTATGTCACGTTCTTTTTGAGAGCTTGAGTGGTCTGTGTTCAGTGGAGCAGTCTCATATTGTTAATCATATCTACTATTTATATGTGGGTACTAGTTCATAAAAATTCTCATTTATTTATTTTTTGTTTGTTTATTTATTCAAAATTATGGTCCAGATTAGCAAGTGCCGCAATACTAACCGTTCAGTATGTGGTCCTTTCAGCGAAGGGAGAAGGTCAATCAGCTTCTCGGGATGATCTGCACTCGCCTTCAGAGATTTCAGTTGGAGGTACATCAGCAAATGGCGCTTTTGGTGGTAATTTTTTTTTTTTTTTATATATACCTTCTTCCAAATGTAGATGTCGAATGATGAAGGTGTGGGTGTAAGTGAAGGTGGTAACACAAGAAATAGCTATTTTTTCGGTACTTAAGTCTTAACTATGTTAGAGAGATCGCTGACAGAGACTGTGATGAACGCTTCCAGGTTCTCAAAATCTCGCAGCAGACCCTCATCCTGTTGATCTACCCATGGATGACTTTGAGTTACGTGTGCTGGGCATTTCACCAAAGAAAGATGACGGAGAGGACGATGACCTTTTGCGAGAGCTGGAAGAGTTAGAGCGTTCTGCCTCTTGGAGGGCTGCCGGGCCAACTAATGGGATGGAAGGTGGATTAGAGGCGGGAGATGATGAAGAGGATGACGATGATGAGGAATGGGAGGATGAAAGAGGGCAGGTGCTTAGTGATGCTGCTCTTTCGGCTATTGTTGACTACGACTTAGATGATGAGCAGCGCCCTTACCAGTTTCGACCGAACCGGCTCTTCTTTCCAGGGCAGACATATGACCCCGAGGTGAGGGTTCGCTTCAGTTCTGTATTTAATCTTGTGATGTAATTATTTTTTAATATCGTTACTTCAAAGGGTTTCCCTAGTGCTGTACTGTGGAATGTACCTCACGTTGCAGTACCGAGCTTTGCTTATCTCCCATCGACTGTCCTCACGCCTGATTTTCTTGATCTTATAGGATCTGGATCTGTCAAAGAAACCGGAGGAACTGGAGAAGCCACCTCCGCGTTACAAGCGGCGATATGATAATAACGAAGTGCTTCAGAGAGCTGATTTCAGAGTATGTGCCTTACAAGAACCTCCGTCCTTTATTCTTGGTTCTTTGTAATATGTTGGTCATTCCCCAGTGCACATGTGTATGTGTACCAGTCGGACGTCTATTTACGCTTAAAAACATGATGATTCACTAATTATTTACTGTGATGACAGAACCCCCGTTATTTGTCTAATTTTATTTCGGAGACATCAAGGATTCTTCCAAAGAGGAGGGTATATATTCTTTGATCTTTTATGCAAACTCATAACTAAATTGCTTGCTGAATTAAATAAGTAAAAAATAGGACCTGTTTTAGTCACTTGATTTTGAAGTCATTGCGGCAGTTAAGGGAGTAGTCTTCAATCTGAACACTTGGCTTGCATAGGTAGAAAATTGTTTTGGACTTGTTTAGAACAAGTGATTAAATGTAATATGGTGTGTTTCACAGAGCTCTTTGACTGCCAAAGCACAAAGGAAGGTGATCAGGGAAATCAAAACTGCCCGTGCTTTTGGCCTTATGCCTTTCACGTCGATGGGTCGCCCCCCTTTCCGTTTTTTGCGATCGAGGTTGGATGATGAAGATACCAATAATTGAAATTATTAGTCTATACTTGGAAAATGTGTGGGAACAGTTCAAACTTTTTGTCAAAAGAGAGCTTTGTCTAGGTTTCGTATCTACACTCAATCTTTAGCAGCAGGGGTTTAGCCTCAGTAGGAGAGTGCAGACTTCTTCTATTGATGCCTTGCGATTGTAATGGCTCATGTTTACGCTGCAGGGTTGTCCCACAGTGAATTCCGATACATCCTACACAATACTTAACGTTAAATCGGTTATGGAAGTTTTAATTTGAGTTCGAAACACCAAGTACCTATTTAGGGACAGTAGTGTACAGTGAATGATATCACCTCTCAGTTGTGTTACCCCCCAAACATTTGTTGGTGGCTGTTGAAATGTTCATCGCAACACGTACGAGATGAGTAGTACCATAGTGAAAATTTGATGGTGGCAACATTTTCAAGGCGTGTGCGCTTCCATCCTGCGCTCGAGACTATCAATGAATTCTGCCAAAGTCCGCAGAAATTGAGCCTTCATTTAAGCTACTGTCTAGTCGACACTCCCAACTGTAATATGTTCCATCACCGTTTAGGAACTGTCTAGGTCGGAGGAAGACGAATGGCAAACATTTGCCAAGCAGAAGCTGAAACTATACACGTCTTTCAATTGCCTAATTAACCAACACAGAAATGTCTACAAAAAGGATAATCTCGTAGACCAACCCAATTGCGTTTACGATCGTCTACCTACGTCCGCGGCCTCTCCCGCGACCACGCCCTCTGCCTCTGCTGCTCACTGTATTGCTCGGCTCTGGCACAAAGCTGAACATGCTTTGTCGTAGCTGCTCTGCAGCGCTAAGCTGCTTAGGTTGAGTATCCTGCCATCACAGGCCCTGGTTCAATAATAAACTATGTAATGACATCCGTTGAGAAATCATACGTAAAACACTTGTAGTCACTAGAAATTACAGGTAACGCGAGGTTGATGACTTACAAGAGAGTCTTCCAAATTGAATTGTTCCTGGAGTCTCCTTGCCATCTCCTGGTCAGAAACTGCTGCCGAATGACTAGAGGCTTGAGTCTTTTGCTTGGATTCCCATTCGTCTAAGGTCATCACTCGTTCATCATGCTCATCAAAGTCATCTCTGCCCCTACCTCGCCGAGGCCGTCTGCCACACCCACGCCCTCTATCACCCCCAACTCCTGCATCTGTCCTTCTGTCTAAAAGCTTTTGAGCAGCTTGTCGGTTTTGAACTGGTGCAACTTCAGGTGCCTTTTCTCGTACTCTCGATTCTGAATGAGGCACCCAGAAAAACAGAAGGAAAAGTGAACAGCGAAGTCAAAACCCTCTCTTTAAAATTGAAATAATACAATAAATCAAGTTACAAAAGAAACTCAGAATAGACTGTTAGAAAGTATGCGGATGTGCAGCCAACAAAATTCACATTAGAACCAAAGTTATACCTGATACTTTTGGTTCTGGAACTGAAGTTTGCGAACTTGATTGAGCAAGAGCTGCTGAGTTGGGCGGAAGAGTTTGCACAGCAAGGAGTTTCTCAGGCGCAGCTTCAGTAAGATTGGCCTGCGTGGCTCCGCTCGTAACAGAGGGTGCATTACTTTGCGTATCTGTTTCATTCGTTTGCATGCTTCTTGGTCTATAAGGCTCTGCTCCAGGACGCATTCGAGGTACTGGTGCCTTAATATTTATGTCTTCTGCGATTGAGATTGCACCCGCTTGGACCCTGACATCCTGCCTGCTGCCTGACATCCTGGGTTTGGTATTTGGTGCTAGCGTAACATCTACCTCAGAAGATTCATGATTAAGAAGAGGCACATCATCCAGAATTTCAATTTAATTGATGCAAAGACGGTAGTAATGATCTAGATAGAGCATTAGCTTGGAAAAGATGTCCGCATTCAGAAATACCTCAGAAAGATCAGAATGTGACATGGATGATAAAACCGAACAAACAAAACATGGAAATCTAGTTAGAAAAAAATGTGATCTGTGACTAACCTTTATTAATATTTGGTTTAGGAGCCTGAGCTCCTTTTGTGTTTGAATTCAAGCCACGAAATGGAGGTGGTCCACTGGCGCCATCTGTACTTGAACGGGACAAAACTCCAGAATACTTTCTTTGCATAAGCCAAGCTTCGTGGAGAGCTGCAACGTGACCCCCTTCAATTCGTATTGAGTTTTGGTCCAAAAGTACTATCCCACTGTGCACTGTTACTGATCCCAGCAATGTAACCTGCAGAAATCACAAATGCTCGTCTCAGTTTGTGCACGTGTGTATCAAATTGAAATAAACTTTGAGAGAGAGAGGAAGATCTAATCTATTAGGAATTAGCGTCTGCACAAGAACTTGGGGTCTACCTTGGTGCCAGGCGGAACGTCTGTAGACAAAGCAGGCACAGGTTTATACTCGATTGCTGTAAGAAAGGAGTGGCCGTCTGTGAGGCGAAGATGGAGCAACCTCCCTGAAGTACTTCCTAAGCTTTGATTGCTCTGACTTGCATCTTTTATTGCTGCTAACTGAAGCCACACACAAGTATAAAAATGAGGAGAGGAATTAGCCAGTTGAATTAATGCATGGCCTAAACTTAACTAGTTTACATTCCTCGCATTACAAGTCCCAAAATCCGAGTAGTACAAAGATGCCGCACCGAGAGATATCAACCATTGTCCTTACCATGACCTTCAAACCAAAAAGAAAAAAAAAAAGTTATCCATACGACTATTAATTGCGCTATTTTTTTTTTTTCATTATTTGATTTCCTCTTGCCTTCATGATACAATGATAATGCAGAGATTGCTGATCTTCGGGAAGTGCACAATAAGCAAACACTTCAAGGTAGATAAGTAGTTTAGGGTTTAAGAGCCATTACCTGCAAAACACATGGAGTTTGCAGAGTGCGAAGATGCAGAAGGGCTTGCGCGTCCGGCAAATGACGTGCCCCAGTAGTGCTCAAGTCGGTATCTAAAAGCTCTGCTCTCACCCTCTTCTCTAGCTCCCGTTCATTCAAACGAGCATCTGCCTCCTCCTCCTCCTCAATTTCACGGATCACGATGTCCACAGCAGAAGGCTTCAAATGCCAACCCACCTTCTCCAAATTCTCTGTAATCCGGTTCATCATGTCTCCCGTCCCCGTAAATTGCAAATCTTCTGTCTCTTTCCCTCACTCCCTCACTTACTCACTCACTCACTCACTCACGCGCTCTGCCCTACTTCGATCCGATAATTTACTTCCACGATCTTGATCATGCTAACGTCAACTACAATCTCCAGTGTCAATCTCATCATAGACGATATACACCTCCAGCCCTAAAACTTAAGCCCTAAATTTAAGATTCACAAAAATATTTCTGAAGGATTTCAAGGCCAGCATTGTAATTCCATCAACAACTCTTGGAGACTAAATCAACAACACGCATATGAAACTCCAGCCCGTGCATATTCCAATATAGGTCGCACTCTGAGATGCGAAGTATACAGCCAATCTGCATACAACGAACCCTCCAGACCACCACAGAAGGTCCTTGCAATGGATTCAGCAACCTCCAATAATCTTTAGATGCAATCAGCATCGTCCACCTTCACTTCAAACTTAGCCTTAGCCTAAAACTTTTGATAGCAAGACCCACTTTCAAAAAAGATCGTAAACTTACAACATATCACCTGACTATTCAATTCACGTACCTGTGACATTATGAGATATATATATATATATATATATATTTAAAAAAAAATATATATATATATTATATATATTTAAAATATATATATTTAAAATAATTATATATATATATATTTAAAATCAAGCTGGCAATACTGATTTTAAAGCTTTGAAAATTGCATTGGGTATCGGACATTATTGGAAGGGTAAGAAAAAATACTGTCCTTTTTCATACTCCAAAGTGAATGCCGATCGAAAAGGCCAATGCCTATCAGTGGGGGCGGATGATCCCTGAATGACCTTATTTGCGTGTGGGATGAAAGGTCCTCACCACGGCTCTTCTCATAGAGTGAAATCCTCACGTTTAAGTGTTGGGTTTTGCGCCGTGGTTGATAGCGTTGCCGGAGGATCAGTGGTGAAATTTGTCAGGTTTGTCCAGAATACGCTCAATTTCCTATTCTTTTGTAAGACAATTCTCTGAATGATGCAGTTGGGCATGTTGCGTATGCGAAACCGAGGCTCTTGGCTCACCTATATGTACATCAGGGCATAGGAATTTGCAACTGTGATGGATTTCGAAGGTTAAGTTTCGTGGGTGTGGTGCTTTCGTGATGTAGCAAGCGAATTTGAATCCTCTCCTACGATCTGCAGTTTTATTTATTTATTTATTTATTTATTTTAATTTTCCTTGTTTCCTTTAATAATTGTATGGACTTAGCTCGTGGAGAAATGTTTTTTCAGCTGCTCACATATTGTTCCTGTCATAAACGAACTATTGGGAATTAAGAAGTGCTAATTGCTTCCTCAGCAGTAGCTACTGCGGTTGTGTGTCCTCTTGAAGTTGAAGATTCCTTCCATTCGAGAGTTGGGAAATAGAATCACAAAATTTGAAGCTCAAAGTTGGTTGGACTGCGCTGTCTCGTGCATGTTAGGGTATGGCAGTTTGTTTAACGTTTCAGTTGTTTTGCCGAGAGCAGTAACCAGGTCGTAGCTTTGTAAATATTGCTGAATGCAGCCTATGAGAGTCCTTTCTTTTTTGTACCGAATAGTTTTCATATAATTCTTGTACCAATGGAAGCCCTTTTACGTGGACTACAACAACACCACGTACAAAATACCGTTCTTTTGCCGAAGGTTCGATTGATTTATATAGCAATTAGTACTCTAACCAAGAATTCACAGTTGAGAGGGACGCAACCTAATTGGAGTGCATTGTGCCTGATTTAGTACATCCTACACATACATATCTGCCCATTCTCTTTGATTTTGACTGAAAAAATCTTTTATGTAGTGTTCGTTGCGCTCTCGTCTAATTTTCGGTCCCAGTCTTAGATGCCGAGTAATGACGTCAGTTGTCAAGTCGAAGTCAAACTGTTTTTACATTGAAAGATCTGGATTCCTCACATTGGTGATCAATAGAGGTTGATGGAAGTGGGATCCTGAATTTATTGAGATTTCCTCTAACACGGCAATTGCATGCTTCTTGATAATTTTGTTAACAGTCAAACCCCATATAAACCTTACTGTAAGCTGTGAGTTTTTTCCTTTGCTTATGATTGGCAGGTACTACACACAGTTTGAATTGGCTACCATGGGATGCTCACCCATATACCTCGGACGACCTATCTAGTCGTCTTGAGCGTTTTGAAGGCTCGCATTTAAGATCTGATTACCGGAAGATATCAGTATTTTTGGCACTTCGTCTTGATTTAGGAGGGTGAGGAGAAGGGCGTGCTCCCGGCTTCTTTGCGAAGGAGGTTCGATTCCTGAGGTACTAGGGGATAGCTGAGAATGTCAGACGCCGTGGTGAATGGTTTGGCAGGTGCTGGGGGTGGCATTGTAGCGCAGATTTTAACCTATCCCCTCCAAGCGGTGAGTGCAGGTCCAGCATACTCTTTGAACCATTACCTGGATAAACCATGTCGAATGTGTTTTGAGTTTTAGGGTGCTGGAATAATGGTCATTCTGAAACTTTCAGCTCCGTTGAAGTATGTTGATGTAATGCTTCGCACGGATCTCAGATGTCCACCTCTTCCGTATGTGCACAATTGTTTAATCCCAGCCTGTAGAGCTGGGACCTTAATAGAACTTGTGGGGTGCATTGTATACACTTGTGAAGATAAATACTTACATGTGATTAATATGTGGAGACATGTCCCATATTGTGCTGAACAGGTTAACACTAGGCAACAGACAGAGCGGAAGGCTAAAGCCAAATATGCCGCACAAGATACTGAAGCTGCGCTTGCTTTTGCTAAAGCAAATCCAGCTCAGAAGCAAAGGGGGACCATTCAAGAACTAATCAAGGTGTGTCTTTGATGTGCGTAATAGTATCAAATACCATTCGCGTGATTTTGCGTGACATATTTTCGGTTTTTGATGTTCACAAAGGGCTGCAAGTGAGGAAATTCTGTGTAGCTGAAAGAGGACTTTCTCGTTACTGTCCTGTACTTCTCATCAAGTAACGAATTTTGACTTGATCTATTTCGATTGACCAAAATTATCAATCGACCAGGTCATTAAAACGGAGGGATGGGGAGGACTATATAGAGGTCTTCGGCCATCGTTGCTAGGCACTGCTTGCTCCCAGGTATTACCAACTTACTTTAAATGTTTCGAACAACAGCATTTAATGCATTCTGGTTATCAGGGATATGAGTTATCTAAGAAAAGGAACTTCAGATGTATGTGAAGCATATCAGCACATGCTAACAACTTGTAAAGATTTTATAATCTTGTGACTCGGTTGTCAACCGTGCAGGGTGTCTATTACTATTTTTACCAACTTCTAAAAAATGAAGCAGAGGCCCGAGTTGCGAGATCAAAGAAGCTAGGTAATGCAGATGCTGCAGTGGGAATGTTGACTTCCCTGATTGTGGCGTCTCTGGCTGGGTATAAGTTCACATCACTACCTACTTTACAAGTTGTATTTTGTTTACATATTCAAGTAGTTTTAATGTGCTCTTTTTGTTAGAGACCTCCACATAATAGATGGTTTGTATTGCTTTCATTTCTATGTGTGGTTGTTATTAGGAGCATCTGTTGCAAATCTGGAATGCATGAGCTCAGAGTAAGGGCTCTTATACTGATCATTCGTTTTGAAATATGTGGTGTCCTGAATAGATGTGCAAACGTTCTTCTGACGAATCCTATTTGGGTGATTGTTACCCGCATGCAGGTAAGATTTCCTATCCTCTCTGTAATTCTGTCTTCTGTTCTAAGTATTTCAGGTTTAGTGTGGCTGCTTTTTATTTTATTTTATTTATTTTTGATTTCCCTTGAAATTGCAGTGTTCCAGCTGTGTGTTTCTGAGAAAGTTGAATATCTATTGACCAGTATTTTAAGTGTACATCTTACTTGTGGTTGTGGGTGGATACATTGTCACATTCTCTTTCTAATTACGTTATTTTTGTGGCAAGTAATTCCCAGACTCAAGCACAGGCTCAGATGGTCTCTGAGATTGCTGCAAGTAATGTGAATGCCAGACCTTCGAAATATGCTGTGGTGCCGAGTGTTGATTCAGCCACAACATCGACTTCCAGTTCATCTTCTCCTGTTGGAGGGCAAGGAACACTTGACACAGTAACGCCGCTTAAGAATTTTGAAGCTGTTTACCGAAACTGTTTTTCGTTGGTTCTTTGTATGCTCTTTGGAGTTAGTTAGGGTTGCTCCAGTACATTTAACTCGTGGGTTGGATTAATTTATGAGTTTGGTTTTTGCTCCACGAATTCCTTAGCATCATAATGTTTGACAGTACCCTACTTTTTGCTTCAGAAACTTGTTATACAAGTGAATCTTCTTTATACCTGCTAATTCCCAAGTTGCAGTTGCTAGACTGAAGTATCTTTGGTTGTCTTGTTTGAAGGTCAAAGATTTATACAAGGAGGCTGGAGTACGTGGATTTTGGAAAGGCGTTTTGCCTACTCTGATCATGGTTGGTTTGTACTAATGCTTCCTTTAGATGTTTGAGGAGTAGGATTATATGTGTTTTCGTTATCAGTTTGAAAGCTCGTTGGGGATATCATGCCAACCTAATTTAATTTTTTTGGGATTACCTTGGCTATCGAGGCCTTTGATTCGGATGTCCATAAATCTGAGATTTTAAGTATTGAAGATTATCCACCTCACAAGCATCAAAGAAGTTGAGAAGTGCTTGAAAAAAAAGTGCAAGCCTGACATGAAGGTTGTTCTGTCATTTTCTCACTCGTCTGATCTAATTCCTGTCACCTTCAAATCTGTAATGCAACAGGTTTGTAACCCAGCGATACAGTTCATGCTCTACGAGGGCATGCTGAGGAAACTGACGGAGAAGCGGAGAGTGACCTCCAGGGGTTCGAAGCACGTATCAGCCAGTGAGGTATCTATGCTCACAAGAAGTTTTAATTTTATTTATTCCTTGCGTAAAGCTTTGGTCATCTGCTTGCAACTTTGGGTTATTGCGTCCGAATCCCTGACCACAGACGATATCATTTAAGTAGTACTATGGTATGTTTTTGATGTCCTCAGCTGCTGTATCTGTGGTTTAGGTCTTCTTGCTCGGTGCAATCGCAAAACTTGGGGCTACAGTGGTGACGTACCCTTTGCTGGTTGTGAAGGTGAGTACTCGGTTTCCTCATTTCTCTCCAGAAATAATCGTGCTCAAATTTGGTCAAACTTTTCTTCACTTTGAAGGTATTGCTTTAAAAACTTGCCTACCGGAGGCATTTGTTGCGGTTTCGTGGCGGTTAAAGAGCTAGAACCTGATGTTATACGTTGGTTGGTTGGCAGTCTCGGCTGCAAGCAAAGCAGGCGATAGGAGGAGACAAATCTTTGCAGTACACTGGTACGTTATTATCATGCATCTTGGTCCTTGAAATAACATAATGTCTGTGATCATTGTGGGAAAGTAACCACATTTGAAGAATAATCTAGTTGAATCTAGTGGGTGACTATTACAGGTTCATAATGCATGAATGAATCAATCACCAGCCTGAAGGGTTCTATGGTGCTATGTTTACTCCTCATTTGCATTCTACGTTTGATAAACACCTTTGTGGAATCTTATCCTTCAGCTTTCATTCTAAAAGGCTGCTTGTGCGTTATGGATTCAGGAACATTAGACGCAATCGGGAAGATGATCCGCTATGAGGGCTTTAGTGGGTTCTATAAGGGCATGAGTACCAAAATCGTGCAGAGCGTGGTTGCAGCAGCGATTCTCTTTATGATCAAAGAGGAGCTTGTGAAAGCAGCTCGTGCACTGGTGACGAAGCAGATCAAAATCCCCAAAGTGGTACTATTAAAATCTGCAGCATAATTTATTCTAGTTCCATTCTCCTCTTTATTAAAGGTTCAGATTTCACCTTTGTGAGGGTGTCAACTCATGAATTCCATGCTTTTATCCAACAGCAGCATTTCCTGTGAGATAAACTTTGTTTACTATAGAGTAATCCATAAGTAATCATTTTTTTCCTTGCGTTCATTAATCAAAGATTGCTGTAGAATAGTCTGAATAATCACAAGATATGTGATTCTTTACTAAATATGTAATTCTGATTTTGTTTACAAATGCTGAGAAGTAAAAGTAAAACAAAAGCTTCATTCAAAATGAAAATGATCCACTGGATGGTCACTTTTTCTTTTTTTTATTTACTGTCATCTATTTGAGTGGATGTCTTCATATAGGGAGTAGTACATTGAGAAGATTAGATGAGATAAAACTGAGTTCAATTGATTGATTGGCTAAAATGAAATGCTTTTTGATGCAATATGATGGTATTGTGATTCTTAATTTTTAAATTCTCTAAGCAAACTGTAATCATTTGCTCACCCCCAAACAAAGGTCCTTTTGTCACAATTTGTGCAACTTTTTTGCATTGGTGACAAGTTCATTTCATGGCCAGTGATAGTCACATCTAATTATGAAATCCACAATCTTGATTTTAACTAAAAACCATGACTAATATGTTGTAGTAAAAATCAAATTTGAAAGTAAATTGGTTTCTAAAACAAGTCAATGTGATAATTACAATACAAATCTAACAATGCATATGGGAGAGAGATACATGTGGATCAACTTACCTACTTCCAAAATTTAATATTGTTCAGACTTGCACATAATCAATGTGATCTATACAACAAATCCAACATTCACAAGTGGTATCTTATGCTTGGTTGAGAGTATGGGTAATTAATATACTTTGGTTGTATAATCTTACACAATACTAGTGCAAACCATGGCAAAATAGCTTCTATGAAATTTGCCTTTCAAGTTAAAAGACAATAGGTAGAAGTTAGTGCTCTAGCAAGATTAAAGAGGAGTAAAAAACACCAAAAAGATTGCAAGTGATTTACAATTATTCAAAAAATTTATTATATAACTTTATAAGCAATATTTGAGTGAGTTGAAAGTATAAATTGTAGTGTTGGTAGTAGACCAAGAGTGTTCAATGTATGAGATCAAAGAGCATGCATGCAAGCAATCTTTACTAGTGGATTTGAAATAACATCCAAAGTATGTATCTACATAAGAAAAGAGACCCAAATTACTCTGTTTGATTTTACTATAAAAAGATATTATATCAAGTGAGCTTGAAATCCAAAATTAAGTAAAAAGAATTAAAACTCACATCTAGTTAGATAAAGATAAGATTAGAGTTTGCAAAATGTCATGAACATTGGACAAATGATAATTGGATACATATTTGCTTCAATGGAACAAAAACAAAGTAGTTTTGTTCTAGTAGTTGTATTTAGTGCTAGATTTGTGATAAAGAGTCTTTAAATGCCAAAAGAATATAAGTAGCAATAAAGTAGTGATGTGGGATTGTATAACCATAGATAGCCTTGGCATTATATGCAAAATTGAGAAAACAATGAATTAACACATTTACAAAGAGATTTTAATATACAAGTTGATTTGTACATTGCATACATAAAACTTGAGTTTTAAGAATGTGTTTTTCCAACACAGCAACAATCCAAATCATACATTCGAACTTATAATATTGTTGTTGAATTCACAAGAATTTTTTCTTCTTAAGTAGTGAGTACAAACTCCTAACCTCAATCTAATTAAACATTTGTGGATAATTCTCAAACATTGTTTAAATCAATACCATACCTCTTCAAAAAGAATGCTTGAATTATGGACTTGTAGTGAAATATTTTGGACTTCAATCACTCCTAGTAAATGCAAGAGATTATATAGAATCATGCAAAAGAGTATTAGAACTATAATTAGGGCTAATGGTAAATGGATAAACTATTAGATCCACTCAAATATTGTAATTATGATTGAGATATGACTTAAATCTTTTTTTTTTCTTTAATATGTTTATGTGTAATTGCCTTTAATCATTGTGTAAATTTACTCTACTATAAGAGCTATTTTCTCTAATTTATAGTATCATTTTTATTTCATATCATTTTTTAGAAACTAAATTTATACTCAATTATAACTGTTACAAACTGTATAGCCATCTATAAATTGGCTAGTTATAATCCGTAATGAATTCAATCCTCTTGATTTGGATGGTTGCATGGATCATATTCATTTGAATTACATGTATTAGCTATGTCAATCTATAAAAAGCATAGATTTTCGGTTGTGGTGGAACTAGTGACAAGTATTAGAAGTATCATGCAAGATTATAAAATTATATGTAATTGAAATAAATACTTAGAACCGTTCATGAATCTGAATTGCCCATAGACAGTGAACTTAGAGCATGTGAATAAAATGTGTGGCTAAAATGTTAAGTCTAAAGACAGCAAGTAAACAACTAACAAATTGAAGAACATCTCTCTCTAACTATTTTATGTGCGTAATGTTTGTGCAAAGTGAAAAACACTTGGTTGCATATCATCTCATCTTATCTTAAGTTATCCACTATGGACTTTTGAAATGAAATTGGTTTTAGAATTTTCTGCCAAATCTATTTTGTACAAGGCAACTATTGCTCTGAATGCTGGTTTCGTGAACATGGTCACTGCAATACTCAGTCTTTCTTAAGACTGCAGTATTACAATGACACTAATCTCATTAGCTCCGAATACTCTTACGATCTAGCTTGTGGGTGACACAAGTTGCCTCTGTAATTGCTACTGTAATTGCTTGTGAATGCACAATGTCAACAGCTCTGAATTATTAATTGTTGATACTTCATGAACTAAAAGTTTCGGTACTTTGTGATGGTGGAGCACAATATAACTAGAACCTTACGTCACGAGAGCACTACATACGCACCGACTTCCCTTAGTACCGATTTTGGCAATGCTGGTTAGGATTGAGTAAGAAGGGACAGCTAGAATTTTCAACGCTCAGAAACAACCTCATTTCAAACTAACTTACTGGGGAAGATTGAAGACGTAGTTGAGGCGATAGTCCATGAAATGCCGTCCTCCCAGATCGCACACCTGGTCGCAGTTAACCGTTTGAACTTGACAAGAGGCAGTTGAAGAATTAGCCCCTGCACCTCATCAACCATGAAGCCAAAATCTAGAATCGTAAACAATCGGGACCACAGTAAATGGGTGCTCAACGTTTTATGATGTCAAGGTATTAGTTTTTTTTGTTGTGTTGTAAACATGATTTGCTGTGAATTCAGACAGAATTGGCATCACCGGAGTCAATCCAGAAGTGTGACTTGTTGCGCTCTACATCTGATTGACATTATAATATGAGAAGCTGAAATAGTGCTGGCTTACAACCGTGCTTCAATAAAAGTCCCACAGTTGGATTGACAAGTAAAGTCCTCTTGAGGAAATTACAAGTGCTTCTTTTGCCTGCGGGACATGATTATTTTCTTCAACGAGACACGATTTGCAACAACACATTTTTATCCCTTGATCCCATCTGCAGATATACTGTGTTCTGTTGGCATCTTGCCAACATTGCCTTGAACAGCAGCGGTGGATAATTTTAATTCATATACTGTGTTATCATCTTGAGCGACTATGACAAAATAATGAGAACGATCGGACTTCCAATGGAGTTTCGTAAACTTATTAGACTTAGTTGCCGAAACTGGTCTGCAATTTCAAGCTCGTGAAGAAAGTCCTGGTTGTATCAGTTGTCGATGTAATCTAATACATCTACAACTCAGTAAAAGACAACACAGTCCACTCTGAGTAGGTGAAACAACTGCATAGAATAATACATCAATTCTCACACATCCTTCTGTTTGGTAGAAAAATTTATTTATGCATTTTAGTAATCATCATAAACCTTTACAAGCTTTCATAATATAAACAACTTTGTAATTATGTTAAATGTATTTAGATAGTAATATTTTAATGGTAGAAAGACACGAGTTCAATAGAATTAGCAAAAAAAGACTTAAGTATAGTAGTATAAAATGAGATAAATAATGTTAGAAGACGTTTCCAACTATAAATGAGTAGAAGATGGCATAAAAATGAAGTAAAATGTGTATTCTAATTAATCTTTCAACAAAGAAGATTAATTCATTCTACTTTTCTTTTATAACTGAAATTTACAATAATAATGATAATAATAATTTTATAAAAGTGGTTGAAATAGCCAATGTGTTCATTTTTAATGTATTTTGGAAAAGAAAATTATAGTGCATTTTTTGTGCTATACTTCTAAACAATATTATATAGATTCTAGAATATGTTTACAAATGATAGATAAATTTGAAAAAAAAAAACAGTTTTAATTGTAAGAAGAACACCATTGTTATAGAACAAAAAATATAGATGAATTTCAAAAAATATTTAAAGTTGTTAAATTATTTTTTTAATATTCATTTAATTAAATTATTACAAATTTAAACACACACACACACACACATATATATATATATATTAGTAAAAAAATTAAAGCTCTTTATAATAAAAAATAATAATCTATTAATCTTAGATATTATGTTACGTAGAAATTTATTGTGTCAATAGAATCATCTAAGTTGGTAATATAAAAAACTAAAAAAAAAGTGGATATACAACTTATTACTCATAATATGGATTTTGGTATCTCTTTAAAAATACCTTATTGATTGAACTATACCACTTCAAATGTAAACCAATTTGTAGTTTAATAATTTAAAGGTTTAGTAAGATTTTGTTGTAAGTTGGTTAGACTAATAGACTACCTTTCAATATTGCTAGATTATTATTTCTCTCATAAAATACTAATTTACAAATACTAAATCAAAATCAACTTTTAAAGGCATACTTAATAGGTTAAAGAATTTTAATAGATTAAAGATAGGTTAATAGCTTAAATAAACGATAAAATTTGTAATAAATTCAAAAAATATATATAGAACATAGAATATGTTAAAAATAACTTTAAATAAAATTTCCAAAACATTTAACTTTTCAATATTAAATTATTCATTATGAATAAAAGATAATTTTAGTCATATCAGATTAAAAAAATCTAAAGTCAAAGAATATTAACTATATAAAGAGGGTCTTAAAAAAAACATAGATTTATCATAAACTTATGAAATTTAAGCTAACAATACAACAAGAAAGATAAGTCATCTTAAAATTCTCAAATTAGATTTTATTTTTTGTACAATACTAAAAGTTTCAATATTCTAAACTACATTTAACTTAGGGATTTTTTTTATTTTA